ATATAAATGATATTTGCAAGTCGGTCGCAAAATGCAACTGAATAGTAGCGGTCTGGAGCCCAGCAGATATTAAACAGACACTTCGGGCTCACACACTTTTGCTCAGGAGAAAGTGATCTGGATAGGTGGAGAAGTTTGCAAGTATCATGTTTGTGAGTCTTTCTTTGTGTGTTTGTGTCTGTGAGAGGCAGAGAGCCACAGGAGAGAGACAGAAAACCAAAATGCTGAAGCAAGTCTCATTCCAGTGGCTTAAAAAAAACAATGTGACAGTTTTACTCGATGTTCAAGATAGAGTCATTTTATACATCCCATGTGGAACAAGCCGCGATAAATCAATATATTTGATATATCAATGTAACATCTCGCAATATGACAGTAGTAACAGACCATGATCGTTTTCAAAACCTAACCATGTGCTTTTGTTGCCTGAATCTAAGAAAGTAAACCTACAGTGAAAGTTCAACGTGAAATGAGACTGTATGCATTTAATGACCCCCGGATAGACCCAGAACACGCTGGAGGGATTTCATATCTCATCTGGCATGGGAACACCTCGGGATGCCCCAGGAGGTGCTGAAAAGCATTGGTGAGAAGAGGGACGTCTGGAGCACTTTGCTCAGGCTGCTGCCCCCACTACCCGGCCACAGATAAGCAAATGAAAATGGATGGATGGATGGATGGATGGATGGATGGAAGTGTACATTTCCTGTAAAAATGGATGTTTATTTTTGAAAAAACACAATGCATGAGCATCCAAAACTGAACCTAGAGGGGCACCTAGACTGTCATAGTTTGACGGCACTGACCAACCATTGGGATTTGATAAGCTGAGAGTGAGAATGTGTTGCAAACAGACGTGATGGCTATCTAAACTGAATCTTCAGAGGAAAACCATCTTTCAAAAATGTACAAACAACAGTTCAAAACCCAGATAACACAGTGAAAATCTCACAAATGACGAGAAAGAACTACAGATCCACTGATAATACATTTTACAGTTGTAGCCCGAATGCCTTTAGCAATCATGTTGCAATCATTTAAATTCTTGCACCCTGCTGTCTCCTTCACTTCAGGAAACCTAACTTCTTATAATGTAAGAGGGCACAGTTCAGACTCTCTCCAAACATTTCACAAGAAGAGGTATAGTTCTAACAAGATGCCGAGATCTAAACCTATAAAACATTTTCCTCTCCCTGAACATTTTTTTGTCATGACATGTACATCATTTGTTTGATTTTAAATTGCATAATTAAATAATACTTAAAGCCCAGACCTCAATTGTCAAAATACTTTGATAATAACTGTTGCAAAATCAAGCCGCTGTTTACTCCACTAATTAATTCAGTACCGACTTGTTTCATGGTAGTTGTCTTGGGTGTCTGTGCATGCTTTTATTGCTTGGGTTGAGCTGAAATAACAATGACAATTCATGAGGAACATTATTAGTGTTGCAACGCCTGAATGCCACAGCTGAGAACATAGAAAATCATCCGAATAAAAAAGTCTCATCAGGTGCCCAGACTTGGGAAATTTCATGAAGTCAAATGTGCCACTGATGATAATTTCTTGCTTTCTCAGTTACACATTGGAGACATCTCTGTGGTCCCCAAAAACAGAAGCTCCAGCACACAATCAGAAAAAAACTCCAGTTGCCATTTGTGAACAAGTACCACTAAATGTAGAAAATCGTACTGCATGTGATTTACCTGTGGTTGAGCTCATTTTAAGATCAAACACAAACATCTTGAGGTAGACAGAGGTGGACAGTTTCTTTACAGCTGCGACAGCTGTTTTGTTTACATCCTGATGACATCACTGGGCTGTTTGGTTCAAGACATCAACAGGTATCAGACACTTAAATTTTTCTGCTTTTAAGACCTTTTCAAATTAATTTCTTTGACCAAATTTTAAACAGATTTTTGGACAAATCCTTTTTTTCTTACTCAAGCATTGACGGCCAATCTGTATTGATATATGAATTTAGAGATCGTTCATCTCTAAATTCATATATCAATACAGATTGGCCAATATGATAGATGCAAAGTGAAAACATTTATCCATATCATCATCTTTAAGATACGCCTTTATTTTGAAATTCTGTGTCACCATCAAACAGCACCAGGCAGATTATGGCAAGCAGCCAAAAATAAGATGATGAGGAGAATGTTTTTTACTCAGGAATAAATCAGCAGTGTGGAAATAATTAAGATTTCAGAGAAAATACAGTTAAACAGACGTAAGTGATGCCGTTATTAGATAAAATACTTAGGAACATGATGGACCCTGCAACACAGCAACAATGTTCGACTGAAACGTGACATGTAATGTATTGGGCTATGAGTAGAGGAAAACTCTGATAGCTGCTTTGCTAATTTATGCAGTGTAAAAGAGCTTAAGCTCAAAATGGGTACTAGCAAAAAACAATGTTTTGTCTACGAACCTTGACATTAATAATTAAGATGAATTTTATACTTTTGTTAAATGATGTAGTTAATCTATTTTTATGGCTGTTGGGAGAGGTCTGCTCTGAGGGTTTTAAGCCTGACAGTTTTAGGGGAAAAGAAAGTTTGGTTGAAAATGGAGATGCCTGATATTGGATTCTTTGCCAATATCTGATTTGCCCATACCAATACCAATATATCCACTTTTTCCCTACCTAATTTTAGTAACCATCAAGTCTCTCCTGTAGTGGAAGGGACCGTACCTGTGTTCCCCAGGTCTGATTTCCCCCCGAAACGCAAAAGAAAAACGCACTTACCTCATGTGATCGTGTGATTTAACGCCCAAAGGCGCAGACAACGCTCCAGAGTCACATATATTTAGAAAGGGCTCATTTTCTCCACTATAATTGCCGAATTCCACAACAAATAGCCTATGCAGGACATCCCTGATTTAACTCAGCATTTTCCTGCATAGTTTAATGTTGCATATAAAATATAGCCCACGTGATGCATTTTTCTTTCACATTTCAGGGGGAAACACTGGACCCTGGGAACATAGGGGGGAACATAGGACTGGGGAATATAGGACCCGGGGAACACAGGGATGACCCCGCAGTAGAATTAACGTCATACTATGCATGTATTCTCTTATCGTGATGGCCCACCAGCAGATGGAGAAATACAATAATTATTGATGTATGTAATATTCATTCATTGTGCAAATTAAGAAGCACAATGGCCAATTCTGATGGTTCATTTTGAAGCCAATATAGGCCAATACTGATGACATGCCGATATTAACGTGTATCTCTAGTTAGGAGTCAGTTTAAAGTAAACTTTACTACACTTAACCTGTTATTGTTATTTACATTATTTATGTGTTATTTTATCTTTTATGGCCAAAAGCAAAACAGAAAGGGGTGGTAGCTTATTCTGTCCCAGATTGTGTTTAATGGGCATATTATATCATCTCATATTGATCACAGGCCCCTGAATCATCTAAATCAAATCGCGGCAGACTTTGTGATATTGGCAAATACTGTATCGTTGTCCAAAGAATAAATATAATATCGTATCGCAATGAAACTAGTGATTTACACCCCTAGAGCGCGTAAACTAAGAAGTGTATATGTAGTGCTGTGCAGAGGTAGGTTTTATGTGGGAACATAGTGAGTAAGTGAGTTTAGTTAATCAACATTTTGCCATCAGGTATGTGCATGTAACTAAAAAGACAGTATTAGGCTGAGTGGTAGGTTCAAAGATTTGTAACTTTACAAGTGTGGACTTAGTTTGACAAAAAACTAAAAGATGGATAAATGAAATTAGAATAAATGTTTGTGGTAATTAAAAAATAATGTTTACAAAATTGAATGTTTACAAAATTGAATGTCAGACATTTAAAGACTTTTTAAGGGCCTGCAGACACCATGTGGTTTTGGAAAGGAGTGGGGAATATTCACTAACATTAACTGGGCTGCTGACTTGACCATTAACAAGACCTACTTGGCAAAACATACCAAAACATTGGCTGAGCTCTGAGGTGGTAATGACCTAAAGCTGTACAAAAGTCTGAAGCTTGTGTAGAGAGTATTCACACTATTTAAATGTTACAACTGACATAAAATAGCCCATTGATTATGTCTAGATGATTACTGATAACCCAGTCAATATAAAAATCCCTGCCAGCAGCGATGAACATGTAGCTACAGTTTAAATTAGATTTCCAGTAAAAGACTGCTGCCCTCAAGCTTGTCATTGAGTCAATGTCACCAGAATAAACGGCCAGGTATCTTCATATCATATCCAGCTCATCAGCTGTCCTCTGCCTGACAGAAAATGGTAGAAGACAGAGTGGATTTCTGTTAAGTAATTCAAGCAACAGAGCAGCATAGCCACTGCTATCATTTCCAGGGGATTATTAGTTACAGATGTTGAGCTACAGGAAGGCATGTTGTTGTTTCATTCTTTACAGTGATTGTAAATGTGTGCACTGATACACTGAAAGCTAACAAAAATCCAATCTGATATATCTGCACTAATCCTAATGGGAACTACACGGTCCTATACCTCTGACAGCCTGGTCAGTGGTGAGTTTGTTCAGTAACTACCTAGTATTGGCACTAAATGGCATTTGATTATGTGTGTTTTACTGCACATAAATGAAATGTTTGTGTTTGTTAGTCAATACTGATCTTACTGTACTTAGACTAATAGCCTATTTTAAATTCCGTATTTTACTATATTTTTTCACGTTACTCACATTGCCCATACATTTCCTGTCTTAACATCCATCACAGTAGAGCCATCAAGGTTTATTCTGCTGTTTAAGGAATTGAAAATGCAGCAAAAAGCACAGATTAACTGGAAAAATCTGTAATGTAGCCTGCTCATGACAGCGCAGTATGTTTCTCTGTAAAACCGCCGTTTTGCCTCTAAAATGCCTGCTGTTTCTGCTTCATACAAACTCCATATGAACGCTGTCTTCTTCACAAATTAAAATGTAGGCTGATTCACGTTGGTTTGACAGAAACAGACGGAGACGTTTAAACTGCCCCTCACCTGCTTTCTGTGCCACGGACTTGAGCCCCACGACGAACCCCAGCAGTACCCCCGCAAAGCACATCTGGATGGCGAACAACTCCTTTCGCTTTCTCCGCTTGGCTTTGCTCCTCCGTCGGTTCAGCATCACTCCTCCTCCGACGGCCGTCTCCGGCATCCCTTCAACCACCACGCGGGCCATGGCGCTCTTCTCTCGGCGAGCGTTCCGGCGGAACCCCCGGTGGTGGTGCAAAGGTACGAGAAACTGAAGCGGGCAGGAAGAGACAGAGAGATGTGCTGTATGGGCACTGAAGTTACTCGACGGGAGAAGATATGACTGGCTTGTCGATCAGTTTGTAAAGTCAGTGGGTCTATGACAACAGAGACGTCCGGTCTAAGATTTCAAAATAAAATAAACAATTTTTTTTTTTTTTTGAAAATGTGGGTAAAACAAAAATTGTGTAGCTATACATAACAAAAAATATTAGCTATTATTATTTTTTAATTTCATTATTATTGATTTTTTTATAATTGATTGGACATCAAATTTTATCTGTCTCTAAGATATTTTTTGTCAAAATACTCAACAGTGGGCCTATCTCGCATGGTTAAACAAAATAGTAGACTATAGATAGATAGATAGATAGATAGATAGATAATGGAAATTATGAATATTTTAAAATAAAAAAACAGCACTAGATATCTTACACATTTTACTCTAAGCAGGCAGCAAGAGCCCAGACCTGCTACAACATCTAGTTGGCCCATACAAAACTGTTCCAATAACGTACACCAAAATTAATCACAATTATCAAAATATATTACTATTTTTGTTTTTACTTATTTATTTTTGAGATTCTTTTAATGTGTGATTAAAATAGAGTTAATATCGTTTTCATGCAAAAAAAATAAAGAAATATTAAACATAAGATTTTAAACATATTTTTTAATATGATAGAAATAATGCAGTTATATGTCATCATCAAAATTTGCCAACCCTGAGAAGTCCTAGAATTAAATAACAATAATAATAGTAATAAAAAGAAGAAGAAAAAGACGAAAGAAAGAAAGAAAGAAAGAAAGAAAGAAAGAAAAGTGATACACCCTTCCACTAAATGAGGCATGTACGTTTAATGGGCTACCAAACAAGTTCTATGTGCTTTTATTTTCTGCTTCCCGTTTCCGGTTATTAGCCAACTCTAGAACATTTGACGCAGTTTGAAGTGGTTGTGATAACTGCTTCCCCACAGTTCTTCCTTCTTCGAGGGCAAGCCTCGTGGCTCAACAATCCGCTACAGGAGTGAGGTTTCTCGGCGTGGATGGTCGTGGAGAAGCGCCGGGGCTCCGTGGCATGTCAACTTCAGATGTGCTGCTTCAGAGTTGGAGATGTCACAGGGAGAGAGAAAAACACGAGGGAGGGGCGTGTGCATGTCTGTGTGTGTGTGTGTGTGTGTGTGTGTGTGTGTGTGTGTGTAAAAGAGAGCAATACTGATCATATCAGCAGTGATGTAACAGAGACTGAATTGTGTAAATAAAACTGTGTAAATATAAAGATGTTTGATGTTCATTTTTCATTTTTGACACAAAACATAAAATATAACATTAAATATTGACCAGGACCTGACATTATTATTAGTACTGCATAACGGTATATTTTTTTTCTAATGCATACCAATAATACATAGTGGCCACTATTTACTATACTGGGTTTTAAATCTAAAATTGACTCCAATACCCCTTTTCCACCAAAATTAGTATGTGGACACAGGTTTTTTTAAGCATGGGGAAACCCGCTAAAAACACACCTATAGATTCCTTCCCCATTGCCAGTAGACTAGAGCCATGTACACAGCTCTGTGCCTGATGAGCATGCCTTTGTTTTTTTTTACTGGTGTGTCATGCTGGACCTCATGGGTAGGCCAGAAAACAGGTTAGTAAACAGCAGAAAGCAGCATGGAGGCCTGTGAAAATGTTACAGCGGTTGCTTGTTTTTATATATCTGTACTGTATATATCTTATTCAGTCTTTCAAACCCGGTGAAGACTACATTGGAATGACGTTTGAGTGCTGCTTCAGTGGAGATGGACAGTATTTTGTGGTGGTGTATCGTTGCAGCTTGCTGGTAAAGGGGCTACAATTAGCAAATTCACCCAGGTGCTGTATTTTCATCACTGCCGGTCGGAGCCAGAGCCAATAAAGACCTGTGACCACTGCAGAGTCATTTGACCTGAGTGTGAATGCTTATTGTAACCCGTCCCATTACATACAAAAGCCAGGGGCCAGCTGCATAAGGAACTTTAAGTTAAGATTTTCCTTTAAACCTGAATTAGAGTTCACAAAACATTCTTAAGTCCTCTCCTAAAGGTTTCCTCAAGTTTTTCTCCTTAACTTGGTCTTATACTTAAGGTATTGCTTAAAGCTCACTAAACTGTTGCACAGAAGACCTCAGCAACCAAAGTAAGGTAAAAAATATAAGGTACCTCTGACTGCATCTTAACAGCAACATGACTGAGTTTACAGTGATAAATGAGGAGTGTTACATGACCGGGAGAACACGATGGACACCCTAAATGATGCACAATTAATTTTGCACTATAAATTTGACCATAAGTCAATTTATGATTTGTCTCAACGCCTGAAGTTGGATCACTAAACCTTCCGAAGCTGCGTTCTTTCAGTTCTGTTACAATTAATGATTGCTTTGTGGTTTTATGCAACAAGATCTTTCCAATCAGTAATTGGCGAGGCATTTCACATACACAAAAAAATGGTATCATTCACTGGGTTTCAAACGTCCTCACCCATCTGCTTAACACTGTAAAGTTTCTGGCCCAGCAAGAGAAGGATAAGATAGCGCTAACAGGTAGCCTATCGTGCACAAGTGCAAGCAAACAAACGATCCTCATGGGAACAGTGAAATTTTACTGTTGTAAAATCTCTTTCAGTGCAGTAAATGCCTTAACGCCTTGCCTTGACTAAGGAAACCTTTTAAGAGATTCTGTGCAATATCCCTAAGAAATTTCCTCAGCTAAGAAAAAACTAAACCTTAAGTATCATTCTTAAGGAGCAAACTGAAGGTGCTTTTTGTAACCAGCTGGTGTTAGTGGGTTTTTTGTGCAGTAAGATCGGGGCTTCATGTGTTCTTCTTCCAAAGCTTAACAAATGTATTTAATCACTCCATAAGAGTAATTATGGCGAGTTGTCTTTTTCTTTCAGTTAAACTAAAAAAGACTGATGTTATGTTCTAGAAAATGAGTCTCTTGGGTGATAATAAAGTGCGACAGTAGAGAGGCCTGTTGTAACGATGGCTCTGCAAAAGCTCTTTTGAAGAGGACAGCCATCATCAGCATGACCATTAAAAACAATGAGATTGATCTTTCACCCTCAAAACATGCACACACACTCAAAGGCACTCCAGCTGACGAGGACCAAAGGTCACACCCTGTGACCTCCTCATAATGAAACATCAGAAGGATGCTGTTATTCTAGAAGCAGAGCAGAGAAAGGAACTTAAACATGAAAGGGAAGGAGAAAGTAAATAGGCACTTGAGATTAAGCCATCGCATTAGGCTTTCTATCACTGAGGAGCACATTATTCCACTAAAGTGAACTTTCACATGTCGTGTAAAGTGGTTGCAAAAATCACTCCGGTTCTTTGTTAATTTCTTGCCCTCCCACCGAGGTGTGTAATAATGTCATCGCAGGGAGGACAGAAACTGGAGAGCCGTAATGCTATGTGAGAGATAGAAGGCAGTGTGGCAGAGCTCCCAGATTACACCCACAGCCCCTTGGCTCGTGTTTACACACACACACACACACACACACACACACACACACACACACACACACACACACACACACACACACACACACACATACACACATACACACACACACACACTTCCTTCATGATGGATTGGGCATAATCCTCATCCTGAGCAATAGCGTCTGACAGCCGTGATTCGAGACAATGACAATGACATGGAGTGTGCTGGATTAGGAGGCAGTGAGGGATTTTTACCCTTCATCCTTCAGCTAAAATCTCCAAACAGAACTACATGTTGTTTTTCACATCTACTCTTTAAAAAAAAAAAAGTAATTTGTTTTGTTTCAGTGAAGAATGAGACCAGCTATCTCATGGTTCCTTTAGCATGTCAATAACATGCTCCATGTCATGTTCTGTTGCTACTGACAGGGCATTAAAATATGTTGCGTGGGTGAAATCATGTCAACTAAATCAATGCTGCAGTTTGACATGAGATAGAACATAAAGGATGGGACCAGAGGGCATGTATGTTTTTGCTTATTTCCCACAAATTGCATATAGTTTCCAATACCGCTCACCAGGATTGGGCATTTGTTCAATCACACTAAAACAAATCATGTTTATATTTTACATTGGGCGAACTCATGTCGGATTTGCAATGACTTTCTCTTGCTCTTTAAAGGAAGGAATACAGAGCCTAGCAGGTGTCACAGTGAAAAAGCAACTACATTTTGCAGATAAATAATAATTTGTGTGTCATTTGTGCACAAACTTAACAGAATATATTGTTAAACAATAGTTGGCATTTTAATATTATTTAAAGAAACAGTTAAACGTAAATTCTCAAAAGTAAGAGGAGAATATCAATACCATTCTCATGTTTGTGCATTAAAGGATAACTTAGGCATTTTTTGACCTGGACCCTATTTCCATGTGTAAATTGGTCAAAGATGCTGATGTGAATGACAGTTTTTGAAATCAGCCGCGCAACAGGTTGTAATGGAAGCACACAGGGCAACTGAACACCGTTACTGTTTATGGGCTGATGCTGTTTGACATTCAGGTAGGGTCTCAGTTATCTGTGAGTGTGGCTGTGCTGTAAATGAACAGTTTAAACTCAGCTGAGTTCATCAAGTTATTTTTCCACTTCTTAACAGTGAGATCGACAATCAGAGTTAACAATTAACCAGGGTACAAATTCTGGTAGTTATTTGTGGTATCAGAGTTTTTGAGACCATAAATAGAGAGATGTTGAGCTTTTCAAATGATGATCACTAAGTGTGTGCTCGTAAATCACCCATTAGACCTGTCAAACACTGCCGGAGAAATGACAGCTTGTAAGTGTGTAGAAATAATTTGTAGTTGTAGAAGAAAATGTCTAAATGAAATTTGTATACAACCTGTCACCTTGATTCTAATTTCAGATATGAAGTAGCCTAACTGGATTAGTTTAAAGATAAAAAAAAAAAAAACATATAGAAAACCTGACTATAAGTTAACTAAAATGTTTTGAATTTTTGTTTACTAAAACTATGAAGGATAGAAGTGACTACAATGTGACTAAAAATTGTGACTCAAAAC